GAATCTGACCCCGAGCCAGGGGGAGAGTGGGGTGGGAGGTGACCATAAGCACAATCACAAAGGAATATCTTTAGGTGGGAATTGAAAATCACGAGGAAGGGGCAAGGTGGATGGATTGGGGACAGAGTTCCACAGCTTCGGTGGTTAGTGACTGAAAGCACGGCCACCAATGGTGGAGCGGAGGGGGCGAGGGAGGAACAGGAGGCCAGAACCGGCCGAGCGGAGGCAGCGAGTGATGGATGAGGAAATTGGAAAGGTAGGGAGGTGGGAGGGAATCAATATCTATATACTCCTCTTAGTGACATCATCCGCAGACATGGTGTCAACTTCCACATGTATGCAGATGACACTCAACTCTTCCTCTCTGCCTTCACCCTCGACTCCAGAACCACTGATGTCCTCACAGATATCAAGTCCTGGATGAGAGCTAACTTCCTGCAGTTGAATGTCAACAAGACCAAGGCTCTCCTGCTTGACTTCTGTCAGTGTCTCGATACCTTGGGCGCTGGCAGCATCTCCCTCCATGGATGTACTCTACATCTCAAAGAGCCAATACGGAACTTCATCGTTCTGTTTGACCCTCGACTTCCTTCATACCCCACATCCGTGCCATGACGCGCTCCACCTTTCCCTACCTTCCCAACATCGCCCGGCTCCGCCACTGTCTCAGCATTCACAGGCTTGACCACACAAACTCCCTGATTGACGGGCTCCACAACTCCTCCCTCCATAGGCTGCAGATCATCCAGAACTCTGCAGCCCGTGTCATCTCCCGCATAAGGCTCCACGACCCCATCACCCTATCGCTAGGTTGGTTGCTGCTTTGATTAATATATCGGGGAATCCACCTGACAGCACACAAGTTAAGACCAGGGTTCAGAGTGTGAACTGGCCAGCAACTGGTCTTTAGGGTCCTGGAAGGAGACAATAAGATGATATTTTACTGCTGTACTGTCAGTGCAGATCTCACTGCAGCAGATGGCTTGTTTCAGTGCCAGCCTGAACCTGCCAGACAGTTAATAATAATAATAATCCTAATAATAATCCTTGCAGTTGATATAGTGCCTTATTACATCTTCGAGATGTCTCAAAGTGGTTCACAGAATATACTGTAAAGTGAAATGACTATATACTTTGTGGGGGAACTTCTTTTGATCCTGCAGTTGTAGGTAAAGGGCTCTTCTCTGTATTCACTCCTACGAGTGGCATTTGCAACCAACAGCAGTCATCCTTCGTGGACTGGAGCGGCAGAGAATATATCGTAAAGTGAATTGACTGTATATTTGTGGGCGAAATGCGGCAGCCAATTGCGCACAGCAGTGTTCCACAAACAGTCGTGGATTGAAGTGACCAATTTATTATTGCTTTTTTTCTTGGTCTCTTTTAACATCTAAATTAATAATTCCCTCGAGAGCAGATTTTGGTTTAACACAAAATCATGTGTATATTACACCTTTACACAAAAATGGAATCCTATAACCGCCACACACATGCGAGAGGCGGGGCGAAACTTTAGGTAAGTTTCCTTACTCCACACGCCTCTGTTTACCTAGCAGTAAGTAGGAACCCGGTTGTTCATGGCGGATCTCTTCCCGGGGTCAATCATCCCACCCAAAAACATTTGGTGACACAATCCAGACCATTTGTGGGACATTGTGGTACGCAATTGGCTACCACATTTCGCCCAAAAAATACAGTCAATCCACTTTACAATATATTCTCTGAAGCGCTTTGAGATGTCTCAATGACATGGTAGGGCGCTATATCAAATGCAAGGATTATTATATTATAAAAATTGGCACACTGTGCGTACTGTGTATTGCAATTATTTTCCGATCCAAGAATTGTCAGTCAAAGTTAATTATTTTGCCACGTATCTGGCAGTCGCCAGGTGACCATGCATAACATGGAACAATCAACAACTTGCATTTATATAGCGCCCTGCACACAGGGTAGTGTCTCGGAGCACTTTACAACAACAACAACTTGGATTTATATAGCGCCCTCCACTCCTCAGAGCGCTTCACAGTAATGGATCCCGGGGCTGAGCCGGGGGTGGGGGGAGGAAGGTGACCAAAGGCGCGGTTGAAAAGAAAGGTCTTCAGCAGAGACCTGAAAATAGGAAGAGAGGGGGCGAGGCAAAGGAGTGAGGAAGGTAATTCCAGAGCCAGACTTGGGGCATAGTCGCTGAAGGCACGGCCGCCGAGGGCGGAGCGGAGGACTTGGGGGACAAGGAGGAGGCCAGACATGGAGGAACGAAGACGACATGTACTGTTTTGAGGAGAGAGGTCAGAGACGTAGGGGGGTGCAGAGGAGTGGAGGGATTTGAAGACAAGGGTGAGGATCTTGAAGTTGATCCTCTCTGGGATAGGGAGCCAATGCAGTCTGGCAAGGACTGGGGTGATCGGGGAGCGGAGTTTGGTGCAGATGAGAATGCGGGCAGCAGAGTTTTGAATGATTTGGATTTTATGGATGGTAGTGGATGGGAGACCGGCGAGGAGGGTGTTAGAGTAGTCCAGCCAAGAGGTGACAAAGGCATGGACTAGGGTTTCAGCAGCTTTGGGAGAGAGGTATTGACGGAGACGGGCGATTCATCGGAGGTGGAAGAAAGCGGTGCTGGTGAGGGACCGATGTGGGGGAGGAAGGATAATTGAGGGTCGAACCTGATCCCTAGGTTGCGTACGGGTTTGGAGAGTTTTAGGGTGAGGTCGGGTAGATGGAGGAGATGAGAACTGTGAGATTTTAAACGTTGATGAGAGCCAAAGGGCATGGCTTCCGTCTTGTCAATGTTCAGCTGAAGGAAATTTGCGCTCATCCCGCCCCTGAGATCTGACAGGTAGGCTGACAGAACATCAGGGGACTGGGGGTCACAAAGAGAGGTGGAAAAGTAGAGTTGGGTGTCATCTACATACATGTGGGAATGTACCTGCGGATGACATCCCCAAGAGGGAGCATATAGATCAGAAAGAGGATGGGGCCAAGGATGGATCCTTGGGTTACCCTGCAGGTGACCGGGTGAGAGCGGGAGGAGAAGCCATTTGTGCAGATGTACTGCTGGTGGTTTTTGAGGTAGGACTCAAACCAGGTGAGTGCGGTCCCACTGAGGTGGATGACGGAGAAAAGGCGGTGGAGGAGGATAGCGTGATCGACTGTGTCGAACACGGTGGAGAGGTCCAGGAGGACAAGGAGGCAGAGGGAGCCCCGGTCACAGATAGAGAGGATGTCGTTTGTGACTTTCACAAGCGCAGTCTCTGTACTGTGGGCGGAAACCGGACTGGAGGGGTTCGAAGAGGGAGTGGGAGGAGAGGTGTGGGCGAAGTTGGTTGGCAACAACCCGTTCTAGAGCTTTTGAGAGGAAGGGCAGGTTAGAAATAGGGCGGTAATGGCTGGGATTTGAGGGATCTGGGGAGGGTTTTTTCAGGAGGGGGGTGAAGACAGCAGTTTTGAGGGGGGCAGGGACTGATCCGGAGGAGAGGGACTGGTTGATGATGTCAGCCAGTAGTGGGCAGAGGAGGGGGAGCTGTGTGACCAGCAAGTTGGTGGGGAGGGGGTCGAGGCAGCAGGTGGTGGGTTTCATGGAGGTGATGGTGGGTGAGAGGGAGGAGGGAGAGATGGGGAGGAAGGAATGTAGAATGGGGGTGGTGGTAGGAGCAGATGATGAGGAGGGTGAGGGGCACAGAGAGGGCGTGGTGGTCGGAGACAAGAGGCAGGTGGATGAGATTGCCTGGCGGATGTTATGTATTTTAGATGAAAAGAAGTCCATGGCCTCCTCGCACTTGGCATTTGATATGAAGATTGAGGAGGCCTGAGGGGGGGCACGGAGGAGGTAGTGGGTGGTGGGGAAAAAGGATTTTAGGGTTGTGTTTAGCCTGCAAGATGATGTTGGAGTAGAAGGCCGTTTTTGCAGTATAGCAGCTTGACGCTGAGCCAGGGAGCGAGGGGTGTTGACTGAAGACACGGTCGAAGAGAAAATTCTTCAGGTGCGACCTGAAAACGGTCGAGGAGGAGAGGGGGGGGTGGTGGTGGCAAGGCAGAGGCACAGAGGCAGCACGTTGCAGAGTTCTTGGGGGACGTAGAGGCTGAAAGCACAACCGCCAAAGGTGGAGGGCGGAGGAGATAAGGGACGAGCGAGCAGGAGGCGGAGGTAGAGGGTAGAGGAGGAGTAAGCAACAACAACAGCAACAGCGCACAACCTTTGCGTAAGTAGCACCTTTCACGTCAGTAAGTTGACCTAAAAGGCGCTGGGGTAAGCAAATGGGAGAAGCCGGGCGGTGCCAGGGTGTGAAGTGATTTGTCTCATCCTGTCAAGATCTTGAGATTGAAATTGGTTTTAATACAGAATTATGTCTACGTCACTCCTCAAAACCACAGCCTGTTACACAACACACAGCACCACACACACACACACACACACACTTACTTACTCACACACGCACGAGGGTGGAGTGAGAGCCAAGCTCTTGGCGCTGACACTCAGTGCGAAAGTCATTTCCTCTTCATCCAGAGAGAGAGAGAGAGAGAGACAGACGTCGACCTACAAATAAAGAGAGAAGAAAAAGAAGAAGAGAAAGTACTCCAAACAAGTCACAGTTTCCACACGAAACACGCCATCTCCCAGCCCCCCCCCCCCCACACACACACACACTCCTCCACCCCCAAACACCCCACACACCCCACACCCCCTCCACCCCCACACCCCCCACACACCCTCCACCACCTCTCATCTCGGCCACTGGAAAGCAAAATCGGTGAGAAAGTAACTGGACTCAGGACCTGGACTCGGTTTATGTCACATCAGTCAGTGTCTGTCCAGCAGCTTCTGACAGTCCTGGCGTCAGTCTCCTCTGCTGCTCCCAGACCCGAACCAGGACCAGGACCAGCCCTGACCCGGACCAGCCCAGACCCAGACCAGCCCTGACCCGGACCAGGACCAGGACCAGCCCAGACCAGGGCCAGCCCAGACCCGGACCGGGACCAGCCCTGACCAGCACCAGACCAGGACCAGCCCAGACCCGGACCGGGACCAGCCCTGACCCAGACCAGCCCTGACCAGGACCAGCCCTGACCAGGACCAGCTCAGGGTAAGTCTCATTTCACTCCCATCTTTGCAATACTTTCCGACCCAGAACATCTCCGCTCTGATCCGCGTAAAGAGAGAGAGAGAGAAATTTTAAAAAAAAGCAAACGTACCACTTCCTCACTTCGGATCTTTCATCCTGGGGAAGCCCTGATCCCAAACTCCTCACCGTCACCCCCCCCCCCCCCCCCACGGAATGTGAGTTGTTTATACGGGGGTCACCCCCCGACCACCCAAAACCCCAGCCCCGGCTTTCTTGTCTTGTTCTTTTAATCCCTGAAACAAAATCCCAGTGAGGGCTCAATCCCACACTTGCTCAGTGTGCAGTGAGTTGCTGGTGACTGTCCCCCTGGGGGTGAGCGGGGGTGGGGGTGAGGTGAGCGGGGGTGGGGGAGAAGGGTGGGAGCCTGTAGCTCAGCGGTACGAGCCCTGGGTTTGATTCCCGGCAGCGCGAAACGCTGGGCAAGTTTCCTTACTCCGCACGCCTGTGTTTACCCAGCAGTAAAATAGGGACCCGGTTGTTAGTCGATGGGCGGATCGCTTTTCGGGCAGTAATAATCCCTTAAAAAAAATCACCCCAAAAAATAAAAAATTGGGTGTTTCAATCTACGACTGCTGCGCACAAATTGGCTGCCGTGCTTCACCCACAAAATTCACTTTACAGTGAAGACATGATAAGACCCTAACATGGAATCCTGTAGCTCAGTGGTTAGAGCACTCGCCTTCTCAAGCGAGAGACCTCGGTTCGATTCCCGGCAGGGTGAAACCCTGGGCAGGTTTCCTTACTCCACACGCCTGATAATGATCCCTCAAAAAAAATACAATAAACTGGTCACTTCAATCCGTGACTGTCTGTGGGACACTGCTGCGTGCAAATTGGCTGCCGCATTTCGCCTACAAATATACAGTCAATTCACTTTACAGTATATTCTGTGAAGCGCTTTGAGACGTCTAGAAGAAGTGAAAAGCGCTATATCAAATGCAAGGATTATTATAAAATGCAAGGATTATTATTATTATTATTATTATTATTATTTGTTTCGCCCACAAATATACAGTCAATTCACTTTACAGTATATTCTGTGAAGCGCTTTGGGACGTCCTCCCGACGTGAAAAGCGCTATATCAAATGCAAGGATTATTATTATTATTATTATTATTATTATTATTATTATTATTATTATTATTAATCGCACATGCTGTTTGAGCTGGTTAGACTCCAGAAGTACCCCAACGCACACGCTGGGGTCCCCAAGCCTTGGTTCTTGCCAACCTCTGCCTAATATTTTCCAGAATTAAATAAGCAGGATGCATCCTTCCAGGGAGAGAGCGCGCATTTCATTCCAACAATTCATCTCTGGGATATCCCTGCGTAGGTGGGATGTATGAAGTTCTCAGTTTTGTTTGGATACTCCTAAGCACGGTGAAGAGTTTCCACATCTTGTTTGAGTTTTATTCCACAATATATTATTTTTATATTCCACACCTTGTTTCGAGTTTTATTACAGTGTATTGAATGTGTCAGCACCTCAGTAATTCTGTGGATCTGAGTCCATGATGTTCCTTAGATGATCGCTCTTGTTCGTTTACGTCTCCAGGGCTTTGAGGGATCTAAAGTGGCCTCGAACCAATGGCCAATTTTGCTGTTTTTCATAAAATGCTTCTCAATTTGGAAATGTTGTTTCTAGCTTGGTTCTACCCTATTTCTATCCTACTAGCTGTACCCGATGTAGCTACGCTTGCAACCAGTTTAATTTAATCAGCATTTTCTCTTTAATCTGGCATTTTTATGTATCCTTGACCATCACTTCTTAGGCATCTTTATCCCTTAAGATTAAGAAAATTGCTATTGAACTTGTTAACATCGCTTCTTCACATATTTGCCCACCCATCCTTTTGGGAGGACTCCTGTTGGGAGGACTCAGAAGAAAGACTGACGCACACACCGATAGACATTTTGTCTATATAGACCCAGGATCTCTCCAGAAGGCTCCGTGACTTCTGTCACTGCTTTGTTGCAGAATACCATGCAAACCTTTTCGGCGGCTTAATGAAAGCATTTTTAAAATATTTTTTAATATAGCTCATCCCCGAAAATACATATGCCCACGAAGCTCCCCCACGCAAGACCTTTTGATGAGATATAAATCATGTCTCTTTGTCAATCGGTTATTGAGGTCTTGGCGGATAGACACACAGACAGACATTTTGTCTTTATTAGTATAGAAGATTATTAGTCGATTAGGAGATCGCTTTCCTGCAATAACAATTCCTCAATCCACGACTGTTTGTGGTACACTGCTTTCCCCAATGTGAAAGGAGTTATGCCAAATGTAATTTGTTATTGTTGTAGCAGTGTGCAATTGGCTGCCGTGTACCGCCCACAAAATATAGTCAATCCACTATACAATATATTCTGCGAAACACTCTGAGATGTTTCAACAATGTGATAATGCACTATATCAAATGCAAGGATTATTATTATATTTTTCAGTCTCCTGGTCAAATGCTGAGGTAAGAGAGGCTTCAGTGGATATATTATGACGATAGCAGCTCAGGGATATGGAGACCATTTATTGTGTCAGTGTCTGCATTCCGCACCAGTAGCAAAGCCTCTGCAGTTTCCAGGAAGCAGCTGTGGTTGATGTAAATACAGTCGACTTGTCTGCAGCAAAGTGGTTTACATCAGACAAATGCATAAAAGAAAATTAATTTAGCAGCCTTAAGCAATGGCTACTGTACAGTGAGTTACAATAACATTTTACATCAGTATCAAGTGTTTACAATAGCAACTCAGAGCATATGAGCAGCATATAACATGGTGGGGGTTGGGGGAGTAAACATACTTATTTTTGTTTCTTGTAGCCTCTGAAGATAGGGAAGCCTTTAATAGAATCTCTGACTATCTCTTTTTAATAATAATCCTTACGTTTCATATACCGCCTCATCACATCATTAAGACATCTCAAATCGCTTCACAGGATATACTCTAAAGTGACTGTATAATTTGTGGGCAAAACTCGGCAGCCAATTGCATATAGCAGTGTCCCACAGTCGTGGATTGAGTGACCAATTTTTTTTAAGGGATTATTACCCCGGATAAACAAACATCAATAAACAACTTATTGCTAGGTAAAAAGACGGGTTTGGAATAACGAAACTTGCCTAGTTTTCACCCTGCCCAGGAATCAAACCCAGGTTCTCTCGTTTGTGAGGCGAGTGCTCTGACCAATAAGCTACAAGACTCCAATTAAATAATAATAATCCTTACATTTGATATAGGGTCTTTCACGTCGGAAGGATGTCTCAAAGCACTTTACATGATACTGTAGTGATTGTATATTTTGTAGGGTAACATGGGAGTCAATTTAAACACAGCAACGTCCCACAAACAACCATGAGGTTAATCACACAGGGAGAAACTTTCTGTTCTTTTCGAATAGTGTCACAGGATATTTAATGTCCACCTAAACAAGCAAATCTCGGTTCAAAGTCTCATCTTGAAAGTTACCCGCTGGAGATCCAGCCCTTGATGATAACAGGAAGAGCTCCTGAGAGGCACTGGTGGATTTAGTCAGCAGTGCAGACTGTATTTTATGTAGCAGTTGTTGTGCATGGTGCACGTTATGGCTGCTTCAAGTAAAGCTGTACCTGTGAAGTTACAAATTGAATCTCCTATGTCAATTTTCTTGTTTCTTCAAATTTAAAGTTCGTTAACCTTTTCCACTTACATATTTTGTCACAGCTATAAGAGATGGCAAAGGAATCAAAGGCAACAAAGCACAGTGTGGAGGCAGATGGTGCGACTGACACTGAACATAACAAAAAGAGGTAAGAAATTCTACAGGGAGAATCTTAAGGAAATAACTGAATTATGAAATCACCTAAGTGTGTTTTTGTGCACATTTCCTATCTTCACTTGTGAAAAAATGCTGCAATAATTAAATATTTGTTGGACACTAGCATACTCCACTTCCCTCGTTCTATCTGCCCCATCATCGGCAGAAGGACTTTCAGCCATTTGGCACCTACACTCTGGGCTTCTATTCCCAGGTCCCTCTCTCTCTCTCTCTTCCTCCACTTTTGATCATCTTTTCCCCTCTTCACCCTCTGGGCTCCCATCCTCAGCTTTAGTGCCCAGTCAGAATTGTTAAGTGATTTAACACCTCCTCCCAACATGAAAGGCACTATATGTGTAAATCGTATTTGTTGTATAAATAGAATCCAATGATCTCCTCACTTTATATGGAAACATCTTGTTCCCATCAAAAGTACATCTTTGCAAAACTGTACCTTCGAACAATGGAAAAGAAATACTATCTCGCTATTATTTATTTTGGACAATTATATATTTCCAGAGTTTGTTATGATACTAAAAGATTGAATTGAAGAACAATCCATATAGAAGAATAATCGTAAAATAAAAAAAGATAAAGTTCACAATTTTGTGTTATTTTAACATTTGTTTTCTGAGCCTTTGACACTGCCTTTGTTTCTTGCTAGCAAAAGAACAACGTTATTTTGGGGGTAAATGAAGCCGCAAAAGTGTCAATAAATTTAATTGTCTTTTTATTCATTTACAGAAAGAAGAAAGATGAGGAGAAAGAAAAGAAAATTGAAATGGTCAGCCTACTGACTTTGGTAAGAGACCTCTCTGCCCTCCCTTTCATTGCCAATTTTATTCTCTCCTGACGCATTTTTCGTTCTCGTGCAATTGCAGTTTCAATTGAATCAGTTACCTTTGAAATCCCGGCCATCATTCATTTGTGAACCCTGGTAGAGATTTTCCGCAGGGTGTTTCACCACAGAAAGGGTTGGGGTGCAATCAACCAATGCCAGTTCTGCCCTCACTTGACACCTCTTAAACACACCTTCAGCTGGAATCATAGGATAGTGAACGGAAGCAGGAACCCTGCCTGATTTTCACTTCCTTAATTCTGGGTGCTATTGTAACATGCCACCCATCTCCTCTGCTCCCCACACACACTAATCTTACCCAAAGTGAGACCGTCTAGCTTAGCCTACTCGAGGGATGAGCCCTGAGATTTTCCCCAGTCGGCACAACTTTCTTGTGGTTTCCAAAAATGGGCATAACCAAGCTTCAAACTATTTCCTTTGAGAGAATATTCAGCTGGATATTTAAAAAATACAGAATATGATCTTCTTGAGGCGTTTTGAGAGTCGGAGATAATATTTTGATGATCCTACAATGAATCAATATTTCCTATTTCTATTTCCACTTTGGAAACCATTGAATTCAAAGAAACGTTACTGTTTTGCTATCTGGCTAGTCACTCCCCATGAACACCATCTTTAACAAAAGTATTTAGAAACTTTATAATTGTGTTCTTTGGTGAAACATTTTGTTAATGTATTTTACTGGTTGCTAAGCAATGTAAATGTAGTTAATCTTTTACCTTTAATAATAGCAAACATTGGATTCTCTTTAGTTTCGCTATTCAGGACGTTTGGACAAACTACTGATGGTGCTGGGTAGTTTGGCTGCCTTAATTCATGGGGCTGCGCTCCCCCTCATGGTCATAGTGTTTGGAGACATGACTGACAGCTTTGTTATGGATGGAAGAGTACCAGGTAAATGCTCAAATTCTTGTTCAAAACACAATGTTGAATACAATTGTTCTTCTTATCCCTTATGCAAACAGACAGAGGCCCTTTTCTGGGTGGGCTCTTCTCCACTTTAGTAAAGAAAGAACAAGGGAAAAGAACATGAGTGGCAAATGGCAATGAACTCCGAAATCTGACCATGAAGTAATATGGCTAATCCGTAGAACCATAGAAACTTACCATGACAAAGAAGACCATAATTCTCTCTTAATTCCATTTTCCATTGTACATATCTGTATCAAAACAGATTATACAGTCAAATCACTTTACAGTATATTCTGAGAAACTCCTTGAGACATCTCGAAGAGTTGATAAGGTGCTATATCAAATGCAAGGATTGTTATTATAATTATTAAAACAAATACTGTATTGCACCCAGTATAATTTAAAAATGTGAAGAGGAATAGGTTAATAGCAAATAAATGTGGAACATGTTTACAAAGAACATGCTGGTTTATGATTTGCAAATATTGCTATTTTTGCTATTTTATGTTTGACTAAGTGTTTAATATGTTCATTAGCAATATAATAACAACAACAACAAGATTACATTTGTATAGAACGTCGGGAGAACGTCCAAAGACGCTGGACAGAGTACAGCATTTCAGACCCAAGCTGGGGTTGGTGGGTAAGGGAGGGGAGGGGAAGGGTGGTGGCCTATGGCATGGTCGAAGAGGAGGGTCTTGAGGCGGGACTTGAAGGAGACTAAGGAGGGGGCGAGGCGGAGTGATTGGGTGATGGAATTCCAGAGACTGGAGGCAGAGTGGCTGAAGGCGCTCCCGCCAATGGTGGGTCGGGGGACGTTGAGCAGGCCAGAGGGAACAGGCAGGTTGGTAGGAGGTTAGGAAGTCGCAGAGGTAGGGGGTTAGGGTGGGGCGAGGCCATGGAGGGCTTTGTATGTGAGGACCAGGATCTTGAACTGGATCCTCTGAAGGATAGGGAGCCAATGGAATCGGGCAAGAGTGGGGGAGATGGGGTCACGGAGTTTGGTGCGGGAGAGGACACGGGCTGCAGAGTTCTGGATTATCTGCAGTCTGTGGAGGGAGGAGTTGGGAAGGCCGACAAGCAGGACATTTGCAAGTCGAGCCTGGAGGTGATGAAGGCATGAACAAGAGTTTCAGTGGCCTGAGGGGTGAGGTAGTGGCGGAGTTGGGCGATGTTACAGAGTACACTTTACGAAGGGATATTCTTTACATAATTGGATGTGTTTAGTAGACACAGGTTATCAGCTTGGTTCACTTGGTAGAATTCTCACCTCTGAGTCAAAGGGTTGTGGGTACAAGCACTATGTTAGACCTTTAGATTCAAAAGTCTAGGCTGACACCCAATTTTAGTATTGGGGAGCACTGCATTGTTGGTGATGCTGTCTTTTAGATGAGATGCTAAACCAAGGTTCTCAGTGCATGTTAGGTGTTAAAGCACCTATAGCACTATTTGAAAAGAGAATGCAATTTTTCCCGGTGTCCTGGCCAAAAAAAAACCTAGATAAAATTAGTCATTCACTTCAGGCTGGACATTGCGGGCACATTGCGGTGGGCAGATTGGCTGGTGTGTTTGCCAACAAAATACTGAGTAAATCCTGTGAGTTGGAGTGCATGGAATTCTCAGTTTGGTTTGGATATTCTTAAGTATGGTGATGGGTTTCCGCACGTATCAGACACTCGGTTGACCCCCCAAAAATTCTGTGAAGTGCTTTGAGATGTACTGACATGATATATCAAACACAAGGATCATAATTCAATTGTTAGTACAACTAGTTCACCGAAATAAGATCCAAATAATCAGGCACATTTTAAGTAAGAATTCTTTATTTAAAAATTACTGTTAAATCAGGAGTGATTTAACAGTGAATGAAAAGTGGTTTGATAGGTTTCGTTTTGATCAATGTCAGCCTCTGTGGCTGGTGTGTTACAGCATATTTCAAATTATAACAATAACAATACATCTGATATAGCTCCTTATCATGTCTCAAAGTGTTTCACAGAATATATTGTAAAGTGGATTGACCGTGTATTTTGTGGGCAAAACACGGCAGCCAATTGCGCACAGTATCATCCCACAAACAGTTGTATATTGAGTGACCCAAATTTATTTTGGCACATTAACTTGTTTTGACAATATTGACCATATTGTCTGGAATCATTTGCCCACGGAAAGATGTTGGTACAGATATCACATTTAATAACTGAAATTAATCTTCACCATAAATCTGCTGTCAAAAGTAATTACAAAATGCTGCAGTTCTTCTGACCATTCTTCCCTGAATCAGTGGTCAATCACAGGTGAAAAGACTGAAAGCAATTTTCATTAGTTTTTCAAAGCTGATGTTTAGGATGAAAATTTCACTGTGTCAGTGGAAGGTGCAGAGCCAGGAAATTATACTGTCTTTAGTGCCAATGATTCCCTAGCAGAGGTGACTGTGTCATGTAAAATTATAGAGAAACTTTTCCCTTGAGAGTCATGAGCAAGAACCACAACTTTGTCGACTTCATACTTACTTACCCACTCAGCACACGCTCTTTAGAATGAAATGGTAGGGATTTAGGTATACTTGGGACAGGCAAATCACATGATATTATGAGTAATAACCACAGTCTTGCTGACTAGTGAAATGCATTTACTTAAGTATTAAATTGAACTAACTGTATTGTAATAAGAATTTTAGATAGATTTGGAAAAAGACTGACAACTCTTTCATCGCATTAGACCAGCAGGGATTGGATAGAAACATCACCTCTAGATATCCTTCTGCCCTGTTGACTATATAATACAATTTATATTTATTCAGCGAATTTCACATTGGGAGGACGTCTCAAACCACTTTACACTGCTGACTAGTGGTGGGTGGGAGCTGAAAGAGCTTTGTGTGTGTGTGGGCAGGGGGGAGATGACCAAAGGCAGATCAAAGAGATTTCTTGAGATGGGCTTTCAAACTAGGGAATGAGGCAATGAGTTGGAAGGTTGGAGTTACTGAGACCAGGGCCAGAAAGGCCAAAAGTTTGCCTGCCATTGGTGGAGTGGATACAGTGGATAAAGCAGGCCAGTGTTCGCTTAGCAAATAGAGTGGCTGGGTCAGTAGAATTGTAGAAGGTAACAACAACAAATGACATTTTCATAGTGCCTTTCATGTCAGGAGGAGGTCCCAAGGCGCTAGACTGTCAGGGATCCGAACCCAAGCTGGTGGTTGGATCAGGAGTGGTGGAGGGTTGGGAAGGTACGGGTAGGAGGTTGACTGAAGGCACGGTTGAAGAGGAGGGTCTTGAGATGAGTCTTGAAGGAGGTAAGGGCGGGAGCGAGGTGGAGGGACTGTGGGATGGAGGTGGGGGCAGAGATGCTGAAGGTCCACCCATCAATGGTGCGGCAGGCAAGGCAGGGAACGTGAAGCAGGCCGAGCCCGCCTCTAGTCAGAGTGGTTGGAGGGTTACTACACTATACGTTTCAGTAAATCCTGTGAAGCGCTTTGAGAAAGGAGGCTGAATCAAATGCAAGGAGGAATTTATTTATTGTACACCTCTGCAAGGCCTCCTCCAAGGTAATTATTTCAGTTGTGGAGTCCTGTAGTTCAGTGGTTAGAGCACCAGCCTTGTAAGCGAGAGACCTGGATTCAATTCCCGGCAAGGCGAAATTAGGGGCAAATTTTCCTTATTCCACACACCTGTTTACCTAGCAATAAATAAGAACGCGCTTGTTAGTCGATTGGCGGATTGCTTTTCCTGAGGTAATAATTCCTTTTAAAAAAATTGTTTGCTTCAATCTATGACTGTTTGTGGGACACTGCTGTGCGCAATTGGCTCCCATGTTTCGCTCACAAAGTATACAGACAATTCACTTTACAGTCTTATCTCTCATCCTCGTCTGGCTGAACTTGTTCTGATATTGAACAACTTTACATTCAATTCTAACCACTTCCTTCAAATAAAAGGTGTTGCTCTGGGAACCCGCATAGGTCCCAGCTATGCCTGCCTTTTTATTGGCCACCTGGAACACTCCTACTCAGGTCCATACCCTGACCTGTTTCTCAGGTACATCGATAACTGTGTCGGGCCGCTTCCTGCTCTTGCAGTGAGTTAGAAGCATTTATAAATTTTGCTTCCACCTTCCACCTCTCCATAAAATTCACTTGGACCATCTCTGACTCTTCCCTTCCCTTCCTCGACTTCACTACCTCCACCTCAGGTAACAGACTATCCATAGACATTTTCTATAAGCCCACCAACTCCCACAGCTATCTTGGTTACACCTCATCCCACCCAGTCCCCTGCAAAGACGCCATCCCATTTTCCCAGTTCCTCCGCCTCTGCTACATCTGCTCTGACAATGCAACCTTCCACGCTAGAGCAATCGAGATGTCCTCATTTTTCCTCGACCGAGGATTCCCGACAGTAATAGCTAAGGCCAGTAATAGCCAAGGACAGTAATAGCTGTGTCTGCCCTATTTCCTGCACCTCTGCCCTCACCCATTCCCCCCCATCCCGGAACCGTGATAGGGTCCCCTTAGTCCTCACCACCACCCCACCAGCCTCAATATTCAGCACATCATTCTCTGACATTTTCGGCATCTCCAGCGTAACTCATCCACCAAACACATATTTTCCTCCCCTCCCCTCTCTGCATTCCGAAGGGATCGTTCCCTCTGGGATTCCTTAGTTCATTCCGCCGTCAGCACTACGAGCTCCTCTCCTTCCCCTGGCACCTTCCCATGCCAGCGCAGGAGATGTAATACCTGCCCTTTTACCTCCTCCCAGAACACTATCCAAGGCCCCAAACACAGCGTCCATGTAAGACAGCGGATTACATGTACTACCACCAATGTAGTATACTGTATCTGCTGCTCACGGTGTAGTCTCCTCTGTATTGGGGAGACTAAGTGCAGATTGGCTGACCGATTTGCAGAACACCTTCGTTCTGTACGCAAGGTCAACCCTGATCTTCGGGTCTCCTGCCATTTTAACTCACATTCCCATTCA